GTTGCATAGTAACTCATCTATTTTTGAAACATGCTTAATCAAAAAAGGTGATGCGAAAGATAAGGGATAAACGTTTTTCAACAATGTTCCTTCGTGAAAAAAAAATATATGTTTAATGAAAAAGGTTCGCAGTTCCAAGGCAACTTATTGTGTGTAATAAAAATAATGAAAAGCAACAAGAAAATACAAGGCATGGCCTGCAGTAAATGAGTTAGTATTACGAAAATCTCCAAGATTTTTTTTTATTTTTACGTTTCCCGTAAGAATATCTCTTTCTAATATAAATAATGTTTAAAAATAGATGTTATATTATTTTTAAGTGTCTATTATCAGAAAGTAAGCTAATAAATGTATATTCAATTACAGGAATTATTAATTTCAATTTAAGTAGTTCCAGTTGCTTTTTCATGACAGTCAATGTCACCACCTCGTGCTAATTGAATAAACAGGAAGTAAAATAGTAGACATAAACTATGGACTTATCCATGATTATATCAAAAAATACTGATATCGTATACACAATACTGGATATAAATTGACAAATCGACCTTTTCTTGAGTGACTGGTAATTTTTCTTAATGATTACTTGGGTGTTTGTGCGACTGATATAGATATTTAAAAATAAATTCCAAAAACTCTATCCGGATTCCAAATGTTTACAATCCTGCTCTTCTCTGGAATGCTGAACATGATTACAAATTTATTTCACGCGTAATATCAAACTTACCGTTCGCTTGCCAAAAGGATTTTAACTCATGCAACTATTGTCTGTGTATCCAGGAAAGACATTAAACCAAAACAGTGATCATTGCATGATCAGCCCGTGATCAGCACATTGATATATATTTCAAAAGATTTGATCATAACTCTGATTGGGCAGAATGGGTCGCGCCCATACAAAGAACCAATCCCAAACCAGGAAGGTGGAGTGGGTGATGACACGGGGGTGTATACTGCCTCCCAGGCCGTTAGTGTTACTCGTATATATTATACAGGGTGGCCCATCCAGGTGTGGACGGAACAGTACTCATAAACAAATACGCTTTGGGAAAATCTATTTATGGGATGTTATACATGACATTTGAGGGCACATTTCTAAAATATTGGCCAATATACAAAGTGTCCCAATTTCGACATACATATCAAAGTTGTGGTGATGGTGATGTATTACTGTAGACTAATAGAATAATAATGCTCCAAAAATATTGAGCCCATGTTCTTTGCACTTTAGTAATCCGTACCTAGACGAAGCTGTGAGTATTGCAGTGATCATTTACAAAGATTAGTAAAGGCGGAAGACTTATCTTCAGATAGATTTTAAAACTAGTCCAATACTCGACACTGTTATTTATTCTATATTGCTTGTTAAGAATTATCAAATCTGCTTTTTAAGAAAAGCCTTCACAAATAACGTAGCTGTGATAAGGTCATATCTTGAAACAGTGGATTGCATAGGTTGGTGTAAGGGTTGCATAAAATAGGGATAAAGAAAGTTATTGCATGAAATCTGTCAGAAAAAATTGTATCATGTTAATTTTGTAGACTACTATAAGAAGTTTTGAGTATGTAACCTATTTGCGTATGAGACATTATAACTGTGCCGAAAAAAACTGCACTGCATATTCTGAGTTTTAGGCATATTCAAATAACTCACACAATACATGAGTATGTTCAAGCATGGTTCTGATAAAATATATTCGGGATGATGCACAAGGATTTTTATAGCTTTACACAAATGATTAGGAGTCAAAGACTGATAAAAATAAAACATAAAAAATGTTTTCGTAACAATTATACAGCACAATAAATTAAATTGGCGGGAATTGTTCATCAGATGACAGTTCTTAATTCCTCTTTCGTCTCTGTATCTCTACAATTGTATCTTCATCAACAATGAATGCTAGTTAGTCCCTTTGGTTAGTTAAACTGACTTCAGTTGACATTTACCTACTTATGGTGTCAGATAAAACACGGGGAAGGTGTTTGTTGTGTAGATTTAGAAGTACGGCGCACATTCACCATTTTTAGCACCCTAAAATGGGCATATTTCTAACGAAATATACGTATTAGCATTACTTTAATTTGGATTACTATCTTTTAGACACGTCTCAATCTAAGCTCCCAAGCAGACTACAAATCACAATAGTCATATTTTCGCTCATCCGTAGGCGGCGACTGACATTTTGTAAACTTTTGCCCTAATATATTCAAAACTACAAGCGAACTAACTAAAAGGCAGTGGTTCATTTTTTCACTATGTTGAAAGTTCCAGAGACTTTATAATAATAATTTTAAATATTCTAAACATACGAACTAAAACATATTAATGTGGACTTTTTATTCCGATGTATCATTACAAATAAGTTCTACTTTGCAAACATTACAGACTTGCTTTTAATGCAGACGATACGGAGGCATCTTTAAAAACTACGAGGGTTGTCTTTTAAGGTTTGCATATAGAAACATAGTAGGTCGCGCGGATCGAACGTCAGTACTCAATCTGAACCTCACTCTTTAGTAAACTTAAACAATACGTGCAGTGTTCTCACTACAGTGAATTTTTAAATATCACCAAGTCATTAGAAAAATGGAACTCAACCGAGAACATTTTCGCGCCATAATTTATAACAACTTTCAGAGACAACTATCGCAACAAGAATGCCTTGCTGAGTTACTGTCTGTTTTCGGCAACGAAGCACCACATCAGTCGACAATTTCCCGTTGGTATGGAGAACTCAAACGTGGACGGGTGAGTCTTAGTCTGACGATCCCAGGGTGGGTGCACCAAAAACGGCAGTCACCCAGGAAAACGTCGATGCTGTGCGCAAACTTATCATTGAAGATAGACATGTGACATATCGCGAGATTGAGGCGTCTTTGAAGATCTCAAAGACCTCAATTCAAACATTTTTGTATGAAGAATTAGGAGTAAGAAAATTAGTTTCTCGTCGGATACCCCACCTGTTGACTGAAGAGCAGAAAGCAGACAGGGTTAATTGGTGTCAAAAAACGCTTGACCGTTTCAATTCCGGAAACTCAAAAAATGTGTACAGCATTGCTAGTGGTGATAAATCGTGGATTTACTGTTATGTGCTAGAAAATAAACGACAGTTGGCTGTTTGGGTGTTCCAAGGTGAAGAAAAGCCAACAAAAGTAATCCGTTCTCAAAGTGTTTCGAAAAAGATGGTCGCGACATTTGTGTCAAAAGCGGGTCATATTGCAACAATTCCTCTTAATGAGCAAAGAACTGTTACTGCGGATTGTTATACCACCATTTGTTTGCCAAAAGTCATCACCGAGCTTCGAAAAATCAACCCCGGAAGAAGAATCATCCTCCACCAAGACAATGCAAGCTCGCACACACCCCAAAAAACAAGGGAGTATTTAACGGAAGAAAACATGGAATTATTGTTCCATCCTCCATCTAGTCCCGATTTAAGTCATAACGATTTCTTTACTTTCCCGAAAATTTAAAACAGATTGCGTGGTCAAAGGTTCCAGTCACCAGAAGAAGCAGTTGACGCATTCAAAAATGCCATTTTGGATCTGCCAGCAAACGAGTGGAATAAGTGCTTCGAAAATTGGTTCGAGCGCATGCAGATGTGTATTAATCTTCGTGGAGAATACTTCGAAAAACAATAAAGTCATTTAAAACTACCTACCGTATTGTTTTATTTCCATATGCAAAACTCATCCCTCGTATATGTATTATTTACTTATTTATACATAATTGCCCAACAGACTAATCCAATTACAGGACAATATAATGGAAACTTAACTAATATTTTGCATACAAGAACCACATAAAACGAACATAAAAAATAGGTGTTGTAATAGTCCCTTTAAAGATTTTACTGAATCAATCGAAATAAATGTCCTAACTCTCTACTATGGAATTATAATTATTGCATATAGAATATAGCAATATAGAACGTACTCAAGTTTTAAACGCAGCAACGAAATAAAAAGAGTTTTTAGTGCTGCTTCGTAAGAAAAAGATTGGCAATTACGCATTATAAAACCTAGAACCCGTGTCGTGCCGGAAATGACGAGAGCTACATGGACATAAAAGTCAACCTGCAAGAAAATGTTGCAACAGGTCTTTAGTATCTGTGGTTCTTTCCAAAACCGCGTTATTTATGGAATAATCAAAGATAAACAAGTTCGAGTTTGTTTGTTCACAAACTTTACACTTGGAAATGTTTAAGAAGAGAAAGTTATTGTCACACGAGTGGTAGGTAGTATCTAGATCCTCCTGAAAATACACTATTTGTAATTTTGGCGTAGGTTTCCAGATAGGTAGTTAGTAGATTGTGACACATCATACTAGGTTTCTGCAAGAATTATGTATAAATATCTTCTGCATAGTTCACAGTTTCGCTGTGATGGCTGAAGGGTCAATTAACATAATAAATAAACCGGAATGTACGGCGATGAATAGTCGAACCTAACTCCAAGATATGAAATCTCTCATCTTCTTCTAAAGTTCATTGAAATGACTTAAAGATCGAATTACGTATGTTAGTTGGCAAAACTTTCACGAAAGAACATTGAAAGATTCTATAGCCATACTATTTGTCGTTCATTCCACTTGTCTTCGGCATAGGTACGTAAGTACTATTCTTCAGTGAAGTATCATTCACAGAATGAAAATCAGTGATGGCAAAAGGTATATGAGTTTGAAGAGTCGGAACCCCTTAGTGCTTATCCTTCTCACAAAAGGAAAGTAATACCGGTAATAAATGTAAAACAAGCTCATAAAGCTCGGCAGTGCTCAATACTATTGATATGTGCCCACCCACATACAGATGTCGACCGGATCGGGGACTGACAAGTCGTCATATCGTATTTATTTAATTGAGTAAAGCAAACTCCACGTAAGTAGAATTTTAAGTTTCGGCAACGACAAATGACAAGGTCCTTGATACCTTCGATATCTGTAAATGGGCAGCATAAGACGTAACTTGAGCTACAAGTAGCCCGCCCTCGCATGCACTTACCACAGCTTGACAAAAAATGTAATCTGACAATCCGTTCGTACTTTGGATGATGGTTGAGGACGAATCGGCGTTCACCACTGTCACTTGAACGATAATTGTTGCGATGAACACGAATAATTTTGTGATGGTTGTTGTATTTGACGCGATCCGTTATCATCATCACTGAGGAGAACACGAGCAAGTGGACGGCTGCGAAGGCAACGGACGGAGCGACGGCATACGTGGTACGATGATCGACTCACGATTGATGCCGTGGTGATGCTGCTTTGGTACCACCTCGAGGGATCAGCAACATCGCTAGATCCCAGACTGACAACCGAAACGGCCGATTAGCGGATATATATTTTAGAGTTCTACATCTTCAGAGAGGCGCCGTGGACCGTGTGACCGTTGGTATATCAGGACGGAACTGCTAGAATCGCTTTCAAAGAAAGCCAAATCACTTGCGGCGAACCAGTAGCGCTATTAGCCACCATCGCTGCAGTTACACAACCTTCAAAGATCTGCAACATTGCTCGATGTAACCTGCCTTTTGGAGCTCCACTAAGGCATTAGTACCACCCTATCAGCTCCAGAGATCAGAAGTATCGTTGGAACCAAAACTGATTTTCAAATGCACCTATCGAGCTATGCGCACCGCATCAGCTCTATCTCTTGATCCAATACCATTTTCATTGTAGACAATTCAAAGAGTAGCAGGATGGAACCGATGGTGTCACTCGACACTAATAAAAGGGGGTACTACCACCTCGAGGAATTAGCTGCATCGTTCAATACCACACTGGTAAACATCAAGTGACCACTGACATGTCAGGAGGAATTATAACCTCATCTTAAGAAAGTCTGATCAAGCACCATTATAGTAGTGGTACGACCTTTAGAGTTCAGAAATGTTGCTTTATGCTACAGAGTTGTAGTGCTACTAGCAGATGGAAACAATTATTGAATGTAAATTGTAAAGCATAAGCTAGTAGTAGTACGACCATGATTTCACCGAGACAGCGGACGCTCTGGTGAAGACAGGATCAGCCAACAAGCTTATTGATCCTCAGCTTTAGGGGTGCCCGCGATGAGAGTTAGGAGGAAAATAGAGAAGTGGATTGCAAGATAACACTCTGAGAAATGGAGAAGCATCTCCAGACATCTACGTCAGGCACGGTAACTCATTGCAGGGCCCAGCGCTAAGGATGGAGGTTTCTGCTTATCTTTGGATAGAGCCAACCTAAGATTGCTGGTGGGACTGTTGTCTGGCCATAACTCGTTAAAGCGCCACCTGAACGTGATGGGGGTGGCTGAGGATCCCTTGTGTTAGCGCTGCGGGGTAGAAGAGACCTCAGCGCACGTTAGGTCGCTGAGAGACTCTTATCTACTAGGTAGACTATACTGGGGCCCATCACTTTGGACCCCCAGGACGTTAAGGAGCCTGGAATCAAGGGGATGCTCAACTTCGCTAGAGTGGCGAGGCTTGAGGTCTAAGAAATGTAGAGATACACAAAGGCCCGTCTAAGTGGCTATGCGCTGGCTCCTTATGGTGGCCGGTATGCCTCTAATTTCATGTTTCATGCCGTCTCCGAAGCCCAGCGCCAACGCCCTATCAAACACGGACTTTCCAATGCTCCTATTAGCTTTTGCGCTACTCATGAATGCTAAGCTAATAAGACATGTTTTTATCATATAAAATGCAAAGAGTATAACCTTCCACTGTCAATATGCCTGAATTTTACGACTGAAACTACGTTCAAGGCTAAAGAGCTTAGTATCATACATCTTTCAAGTTTTAAGAGAAACCTGTAGGCCTGGGTTCATCGATACCAATAATCCAAAAGTTTCATCTCGAGGGATCAGTAGCATTGCTTGATCCCACACCGGCTTCCTTTAGCGCTTATAGAGCGATTTATAATTTTAAAGTTCCAGATCTTCGGAGGAGCGCGCTTGTAGATAGAGAGCTAATAGGTACTGAAGTGTGATACCACTTTGAGAGTTCAGAAGCATTACTCGATCTCACACTGACAACCGAATTGCCATGGCGAATTTAGAATTCTTGGAGGCGCTGAAAATAGGCACGGAGCTAACAGGTGAATAGAGAAATATTTGTATGTTGAAAATGAGGTATCACCTTGAGGGATAAGCAGCATCGCTTGGTCTCACACTGGTATCCAAATATACACGTATATACCACCTCTTATAATTATTTTAAAGATCCAAATCTTGGAAGATATGCAGATAGATGCTGAAATAGTGGTACCACCTAAAAAGAGATGCGCGGTTGATAGATGAAGAACTACGAAATGATATTTTCACCGGGTTAACTATGTAATGCTTAACTTTTCGTTTTAAATATTTGTAATCTGTTTTTAATTTGTTCTTGTCATACAGCTGTGAGTAGTTTGTATAATTTTGACTATTGTACCATGTATCCAGCTTTCACCATGTTACTGGGTGTTTTCCTCATCCTTAACGTAAATAACATTTAGCAACATCCTCACAGTCACAGTCATCAGTTTGTTGTCCAAAATGAAGCATAAGGTTCAGTTGCTTGATTCAACCAATACTGTCTATCGTATTAATTGCAACAACTGTAATTTAGTTTATATAGGCCAAACTTCTAGGTCGCTGAAAGGCAGGATAACTTCACACAAAAGTGACGCCAGATTACATCCAGAGAGATGTGCTTTGGCATCGCATATTAACAACACAGGTCACTCTATGAATTATGGCAGTATTGAGGTTCTTGATAAAGAAAAAATACTCTCAAAACGTTTATTTTTAGAAATGTCCCATATTTTCATGATAGGTCTTTGCATTAATAAAAAGGCTGATGTTGAGCAGCTCACTGTCATTTATTCCTACCTGTTGAATTGCGAAAAGCTAGAACGGCTACATATCCAAATTGAACCAACATCTTCACAAAATTGGAATACATTTTCTCACTCACATTTCTAATATAAACTCACATAACCCATCTTTTCAAGGTTGTATCAATATCACACATTCTTACACTCATATGAACTACACATGTTTTTTCCAGGACAAGTTAATTCAGCATTTTAGTAATTTTGGCTGGAGGTTTACCGAGCGTCCCTCGTATACTTCATACCCAAAGCTGGAGGGAGTTTTACAGTTCCACGGTCCGTCGCGTCAATCACTTGTCATCTGTCGACGCTTTATCTTTCCGTGCCGTCCCCCTCTCAACGTGTAGCGGAAACAGAAGGTTAGAGACTGCATTCCGATTGTTTCAACAAAATGTCGTCTCACGTGTAATATTTTTAACTTGTTCGGGTGGATTGATATTTTTAACATTTAACGAAGGTATCTGTCGTTTTACAACAAACCCAATGTCCCCGTCCTTTTGTTTTTATACTGATTATAAGTTCGATCTTCTCTACGTTCGTTCTGAAACACCTTGTGGCTGCAACCTCACCGACGAGTAAGTTGTCGGACAATTTAAATCTGTCCTGTTTTCTTTGCTAGCATCACAATTGTGTTTTCAGAATCCTGATGAAGGCTCCACAGAGAATGCCGAAAGCTTGATTTTATCGTCAAAAGAGTCAACTTAAGCCTAAGAGATTTGCCAATTTCCCAATTAACAATTAAATATATATATATATATATATATATATATATATATATATATATATATATAGTTATACAGGGTCCGTCAGGAAGAACGTATGTTTTTTAAATGAGTAGAGCAGTCAAAATAAGTATGAGTAAGAAATATTTTATTATACCAAAATACTCAGAAATATATGCCATTTTTTTGAGTAAAATGCCGGAATGCAGGAATCAAGCCTCTCCCGAAATAAGTTCATTTCGTCGGTCAGCATCCGTGCAGGAATTTGGGTGGATCCCTAGGGAACTGGCACGCAAACGGTCGGAACGATTCGGGCTTTGAGGCATGGCAACTCTCACTCTGTCTACTTTTTCGGGGGTTCTAACAGTACGGTTGCGCCATGGCGGTTTATTTTTCATCACATTACCTGTTGTATTGAATGCTTCCACCCATCTCAAAATGGTGTTACGGTCTGGTACTGTCCCACACTATAGTGAACGCGAAATTCACTTTGCGTTCGAACGACTCGCCATTTTGAAAGTACCGACGTACAGTGAACACGCGATGCTCAACGTTCCAAACCACCTTGCTAACCGAAGCGGCACTTCTCCCACTATCCAACACGCCCTTCCTCACCGACACGGGACAAGCCCACTCGATATAGTACCCATTCAAAAAACATCCGTTCTTTCTGACGGATCCTGTATATAAAGCCACTGTAGTCACGAATGATTTATTGCGCGATCCATAAGGGTCCGGATTTTGCTTATTGGGCATTTGTATTCTTGAATATCACATTACAAGCGAAATATCATAAAATCAAGGTTGTTCAGTCGCGGTAATGACGTACCTACTGCACATCAAAATTTTCAAACATGTCCGCGTGCCAGGGTGAGCTTACGCGGACAAAGTCAAATGTCATCTGTGGGCACTTATCATCATACTATTGTAGAACATTTTGACATTTTTTTGACACGGTAATGAGACACTAAATTTCAGTTAGTTAACAAGTTAACTTAATTGCATGTAATTGTGTTTTGCCTAGGCGGAAAAATTCTGTGGAGGGGTTTTGTGTCGCTGGTTCGATAACTACACGGTGCATACAGTATTGAATCTAACATCAAGCTTGTACCAAATTGTTGCATATCTATGCAATGATAGCCTCGTAGGAGCCGCTACCCGTCTTCTTCTATCAGCCGCAGGGCTTGGTTTGGTACTAGGAAATGAAGAACCGGTTAAAAAAACATAAAACGTTTTTAAAAAATTTTTTAACCCATTTAGGTTTTTTATGCAAAACGGTCATCGAATTTCACTTCTATAATACAGGGTGTCCTGAAGCTTGGGACTTTCCTTTTCAGAAACAGCTACGCTTCGCGAAATAACAAAGCTAATGTGGGGTAAAAGAGCACTGAAAAAGTAAAAAACAAATGAAAAAGTACTCAACGTCCATTTCCAGAGAAATTTCATTTCGGCTCTGTCACTTGTAAGAACTGTTCGAAATTTTCGGCTTTGGCAAAATGTTTCGTAGGAAGTCTGGTTACTGTAAAGAAAATAAATGTGAAATGAATGTAATCAACGCACTACGTGAGGATTTTCCAATGACCACACATGAGTATTTCAGAAGTTATTCCCTCCGTTAAGCGTGAAGGTTGATTTATCCCTGCCTAATATATACTTCAGCTTCAACCCTGGATTATTTTCATGTTCGTGCAACAACCACAAAAATGGAGGAAACGCAGGAAAATCATCAGCTTGTACAGAAGGTTACAATTCATCGTCACGCAGCGTTTGCCACACTTTAGTCTTGGATACTTGCACTTCCCTAGTTGAAGGCTCGTTT